TATCCTGGGCTGAGAATACGGGACATGTGAGCGAAGCCACAGGAAGGCAAGTGGGCGGGCGCGGGGGTGGGGTGCTAAGCAGACTCGGAGCAGACTTCTCAGGCTGGAGTGACCACTTCCTGTGGCAGAACAGGAAGCAGAGGAGCTGGAGCCAAGGTTAGGTACAGGTTGCAGAGGCCTTGAATGCCAGGCAAGGCAGCTTGGACTTTCACATAAAGGCACCAGGAGCCAGTGAAGGTGTTATGCGTGAAGGGTGCTGGGTGAAGTCAGTGAAAGTCCTGCCCCAATGGGGGTCTGCAGGGTGACTGAAGGAAGACTGCCACCAGAGCCATTGGTCTGGGGGCTGGTGCAGCCACTGCAGCAAGGTGGAAGGAGTGCTGCCCATTGAGCTGCTCACAGATTGGGGTGAGGCGCTTCGTGAAAGTAGGGGAACACATTGCAGTGCTGGTGACACGTTTCCATTTTGATTTTGACAGAGGCGGGTGGACTGAGTGGCCTGAATCCCTGGACCCTTGGCCTTGAGGTCTGTTCTCAGGATTTGCTCAGTCTGTGGTTGGAGGCTGACCAGATCAGAGCAGTTCAGGAGACCCTGTTCTCTCCTTCTGCAGGGAGTTGGTTAGCGGCCATTGAGCCATGGCAGGGAGGGGAATGAGGGAGGAGCAGATTTTGCAGCCATGGGGGAGGGTTCAGCATCAGGTGATATTCCAGAGGACTCTGCCCAAGACCTGCTTCCAGGTACATTTTCGGAGCGATCACTCGTGGGCAGCTGGTTGTGGTGAATGAGTGTTTCACTTGCCTGCTCCCGGGCTCCGGCTTCCTGCTTCATAAGGAGCCACGATGGTACCTGAGTCCTTTCAGAAAACGAGGCAGTCCCCGCTGCTCCAAGCAGAAAGTCTTATGAGCCAAGGAGAAAAGGAGATTTGGCCAGACACTGCAGCCGGGGCAGTGACCAGTTAATACAAGCCTGGGAGCAAGGAGAAGTGAAATGCTGTTTACCAGCCGGCTGTGGGTTGCAGGGCACCCAGCCACCTAGCACAGGATTCCAGGCCCCAGCTTGTCAGGAAGCTGGAGCCCCACCCTCAGCTCAGTGAGGGACTGTTCCCCCTCCACGGGCCCCCGACTCCCCAGGTAGAACCAATAGGTCTACTCTGTCAGAGGTTCCGCAGGCCGAGACTGCAATCCACACACTGCTCCCCAGGCAAACTGGGAAGTCCTTCTGAACAACACAGCTGACCTCTGGCTCTCTCTGAGCAAGCCTCTCCATGCCCCAAGCCGGGTTGCCAGGGCCTCCCGCCCTTGGTTCTGAGGAGGGCATTGCAGGCCCAGGGGAGGTGACTTCTCCAGTTGGCACTAGGGTTGCCTGCTTCCCAGGAAGTGGGGTACGGGAGGTGGGGCAGGGGTGGTGGTGTTTGCACGGCCGCTGGTGTGTGTGTAGGGGAGATCGGCCGTGGCCAGCCACAGAATAACGAATATTCCACAAGGATTTACTGAAAACATTTACCCATACCCGTCTGAGTGCCAGATGCCAGGGAAAACAAGATGAGTGAGATGCGTCCCTGCCCTCTGGAAGGGCACAGTGTAACTGGAGAAAAAACGATTTAGAAGGCTAATTAGGATACAGCAGGATGAATGATAAATAAATGAATGCATAGGATTATAAATCGTTCTACTATAAGGACACATGCACACGAATGTTCATTGCAGCACTGTTTACAATAGCAAAGACCTGGAACCAACCCAAATGCCCATCGATGATAGACTGGGCAGGGAAAACGTGGCACATATACACCATGGAATACTATGCAGCCATCAAAAACGATGAGTTCATGTCCTTTGTAGGGACATGGATGAACCTGGAAACCATCATTCTCAGCAAACTGACACAAGAATAGAAAATCAAACACCGCATGTTCTCAGTCATAGGCGGGTGTTGAACAATGAGAACACATGGACACAGAGAGGGGAGCACTACACACTGGGGTCTGTTGGGGGGAAATAGGGATGGGGAGTGAGGGGCGGGGAGTTGGGGAGAGATAGCTTGGGGAGAAATGCCAGATATAGGTGAAGGGGAGGAAGGCAGCAAATCACACTGCCATGTGTGTACCTATGCAACAATCTTGCATGTTCTTCACATGTACACCAAAACCTAAAATGCAATTAAAAAAAGAAAAAAAGAATACATAAATAAATAAATGCATAACAGGCTGTGGGTAAACAGGGAAGCTCACAGTGGGTCTTTCCTGGGAAGGTGAGGATCGCTTCATAGAGGAAGGAACATTGGAGCTGAGCTTTGGGGCAGGGCAGATTTTTTAAAGTTTTTGGTCACATAGAAAAAGGGGGGTGAGAGGTATAGGATGTCTGAGGTAGAAGGAACAGCACGGATGAAACCTCAGTGCAAAACTATCCCAATCACAGTGAAACAGAACTGAAAGAATGTCAGTTTCTGCAAGAGTTTGGGTTAAAAACCATTAGGCCGGCTTGGTGGCTCATGCCTGTAATCCCAGCACTTTGGGAGGACAAGGAGGGAGGATCGCTTGAGCCCAGGAGTTCCAGACCAACCTGGGCAACATTGGGAGACGCTGTCTCTACAAAAAATACAAAAATTAGCCATGCACGAGTAAGCACTCCTGTAGTCCCAGACGCTTGAGAGGCTGAGGCAGGAGGGTCCCTTGAGCCTGGAAAGTTGAGGCTGCACTGAGCTGAGATTGCACCACTGCATTCCAGCTGGGGTGACAGAGTGAGAGCCCACCTCAAAAATAATTAATTAAATTTAAATTATAACTAAAAACTGTTCAACCTCTCAAGGCTTAGAGGGAACGGCACTCACACCAGGAAAGGGAGGCTGGTCACTGTAAGCGCCAGACTTGTGTGAGGAACATTCCAGACACGGCTTGATTCTGAGGGTGATCTTATCATCCCGTTTTACAGTTGAGGAAAGTGGGGGTCAGAGAGATGAGGCGACAAGCCCAAGTCACACAGCCGTCAGGTGGCACAGCTGTTCTCAGCCCTGGGCCTTGTCAGCACCTCAGACATCTCTGAAGGAAGCTTTCCAATGAACAAAGGTGGTTTCTCACTCTGCCAGGAGGAACCTAACTCAGGTTGGGGTGGAGGTCACAGACATGCTCTCCGCAATTTAGACTTTTTTTTTTTTTTTGATACATAGCGTCACACTGCCACCCGGGCTGGGTTGCAGTGGCATGATCCTGGCTCACTGCAACCTCTGCCTACCATGCCCAGCTAATTTTGTATTTTTAGTAGAGATGGGGTTTCACTATGTTGGCCAGGCTGGCCTCGAACTACTGACCTTGTGATCCGCTAGGATGACAGGTGTGAGCCACTGCACCCGGCCTAAAAAATTTTTTTAAAAATAGGCTGAGCAGTGGCTGATACCTGTAATTTCAGCACTTTGGGAGGCTGAGGTGGGAGGATCGCTTGAGCTCAGGAGTTCAAGACAAGCCTGGGCAACACAGTGAGACCCCATCTTTTTTTTGTTTGTTTCAGTAGAGATGAGGTCTCTGTTGCCCAGGCTGGTCTCCAACTCCTGTGCTCAGGTGATCCTGCCACTTAGGACTCCATAAGTGCTGTGATTACAGGCGTGAGTCACTGCAGTGGGCTCCAAGACCTCTTTGAACACTTCTCAGAGTGTAGCTTTTTTTGGTGAAAATGGAGTTCACAATAGGTTCTATGCCATTGGGGTATTAAATCAAGGTGAAGGGTGTCTGGGGCACAGAGGACCTTGTGGCTGGAGTCTTGGAAGGCAACACCACCTCCCACAGATAATCCCTTCTAGCATCACAGGCTCACTGTGTCTGACAGCTCCTGCCAGGATCTGACTCATGGTAGAGAGGTCTCATGGCCTCTCCAACTCCTGCTTCCCACCCTAGACCAGCACAGGCCCCTGGGACTAGCGCAGAGGGCAACAGGGTCCCTGGAGGCTGAGGCCCAGGTCACCCACCCCAAAGGACTTGCTTGGTCCTTGGAAAGCAGATACTGTTCCGGAAGTGAGATGGAGTGAACACGAAAAGAGCAAACAGCTCTCAGAAAGCCTCACTACATTTCCACTGCCATCTACCATGCAGGGCTGGCCGTGGGCAGGGCTGGCCGTGGGCAGGGCTCCGCTGCTGGGGTGCCCAGGTCCCAGACACCCCAGCCTTTCCCCTGCCTGAGTCGGGAGGCAGGGGCCAAGAGTTGCCTTTTTGGAGAACCTAGGTAGGGAACAGAGAGATTCCCGAAGCTTGAAAATAAGCTGAAAGAAATCTGTTAGATCCACAACTCATCTTTGGCTTCTTAAGGTCACAAGCTGCCTCAAAGACTATTATCACTCCACCTTCCTCTAGCTCCTAGCTGGTTTTTCATATATGCTAATGAACGGCCCCTCCCTGCACACTGACTTCAGCACTAGTTGTCTGGTTATGAAAACTAGTCCCAAGCCAGAGTCACGTACGCCCCTCACTTAGGTCTGACCGGCCGTTTGCCTTTCTAGCGTGGGCAACCAACTGCTTGGACCCTACAAGCGTTTGCCTCCATGACATGGGGGCGTCTGAATCTTGGGGTGGGAGGTGGAGCTAGGGGAGGGAGCCCAGGAGCGAGGAACAGATCGGCAGCAGCACCGCGCCCCTCTTCTCAATATTGAAGAGACTGTAACAAATCAGTCTCGGGCACCCCAGACCAGGCCGTGAGAGCAAATCAGGAAGGGATACAGGGTTCTAGAGAACCAGGGCCTCACTGCCAGCTCCGGCCGCTAAGCAAACATTCCCTCCCGGAGTCAGAGAAGGCGGTGTGCGAGGGGAGGAACCAGACTGAGGTTTATCGCTCCGGCAACTCCGGGTGATTCATAGAGTTTAGACTCCCGGTTGTCATAGACCGAGGCAGGCACGCAAACAAGCAGCCCGGGAGATCCCCTCCCCTTTCCCTGCCCCCGCTCCTCCACCTTGCTGCCCCCTAGCCCGTGACCAGCTGCCTCCCCTCCCCCTCTCGGGCGATGGGGGTTGAGCAAACACTCCGGGCCGCCCGCCCCGCCACGAGCTGGCTCCGACCTGCGCGCCGCTGGCGATGCCCCAGGCGACTCGGCGTCACGAGAACCGGCACCCCGAGACCCGGCGCCCTGCCCTCCCTCCGCGTCCCCAGGGCCCCGGCCAGGCCCAACAACCTCTCCCTCCTCCGTGCGCCTCGGCCCCTGCGGGCCTCCAGCGCGGGCTAACTAGGCCTCGCTCCGGGCCCCCGGGAAGCCGCCCCCCACCTCCCGCGAGGCCCGCAGCCCCGGGGGAAGGCGGCCGGAAAACCTCTTGTTTACCGGGCTGGAGAGGTCCCAGCCAGGATTCGCTTCCCTGTTTCTGCGGTCACCCTTCGGCAGATTCCTGAAGCCGGAGGAGAAAGGGTGGCAACCCACAGATCCACCCCGGGACAGGGAGTGGGGGTGGGGCTGGAGGGAACCCGACCTCCTGGAAAGGTCCCCGGGCCGCTGGAGGGAACGGACTCGCAGTCAGAGCCAACATGTCCCGGAGCGCAGAGACCGCGGGGGCCGAACTAAACACTGTACCTCGGGGAAGAAAACCGTGAAAACTAATTAGGACAAGTCAGAACAGGGAACGGGGACGCGGGGAGGGGAGCGCGCGCTCCGAATTGGGCAGAACCTGGAACCGTCGCAGGAAACCCGCGACCTTTGCCCACAGTCCGCAGTGGCTCTGGACTTGGGCCACGCGTGAGAGGAGCGCTTGGTGGCTGGAGTCCCAGAGAAGGACGGCACGCGAAAAAGACAAATCTGGGTGTACGGTGTGTCCACGTGTGCAAGCTGGGGAGGGGTGGGGGCGCAGAAGGCGTGACAAAGACGGACTCTGTCTTGAGTGTGCGCCTCGCTCTGGCCCGCTCCCAGCGAACTGTGCCTGCAGTGTGTCTCACGGGAGGGCCAGGGCAAAAGTGACAAAGGCTAAGTGTCCGCCACCGAGAGACGCGCCAAGGTAGCCACGAGCGTGTCCGTACGCGCGCAAGCCGGGAGACGCGGTGGGGGGCGCGCAGGGCTGCACCCCCACGACGCTTGCCCCAGCGGAAGCCGAGCCCAGAAAGTGAGTGCGCGTGAGTGTGCGCGCGCCCGCGTGCGGGGGCGTGGCAGCAAACAGCAACAACCCACTCGCCTGCGGGACCAGAAACTCCAATCTTCCTCCCCAGCCGGAAAGTGCGAGTCGGCCCAGTCTGGAGGTGAGTCGGGGCGGGGAGGGCCGGGCAGGCTTTGTTCCTATGTAAACGGAGCGCACATACCTGGAGCGCTGCTGGCGCCGGATAAGCGCCCGCAATGGAGGTGATGTAACGGTGATGCCGGCGCCAGCCCACTCTCACCGACAGCCAGGTGCCTTGCCTGGGGACAGGCCCGCGCGAGAGCGAGCGACCCTGCGCGCCCGGCTCAGCCCCGGCCCCGGGGAGAGGCAGGCCCTGCGCCCCGGCCCGGGCCCGGCCACCCCAGCCAGGACCCCGCCTGGCTCCGCGCCCCGCGCCGAGTCCCTCCCACCCCCGCCCGCGCCCAGCCAAGGGCTGGCGTTGGCCCCAAAGGCAGCGCCGGAGCGGGCCCGGCAGCGCGTCCCAGGTAAGGACTGCTGCCTTCCCGCTCCGCCCTCCTCTCCGCAGCCCGGAAGAGTTGGGTTGGGCCGGCGGGGAGTGGGCGAGGGCAGAGGCGGGGGCTGGACATCCTGCGCGCGGGGGACGCCGCACCAACTCCGCTCGGTCCCTGAAAGTTTTCAAACTTGAGCCGATTGGGGGTGGGGGAGTCGGGCGCTCCGGCTTGAACTGGAGGAAGAGGAAAGGACTCCACAATTCGGGGTCTCCAAGGGGAGCCCCTCCACCACGTGCCTCTCGGTGGGAGTCCGCGGTCACCGTGACTCTAGTGGGTCGGCGTCCTCTCCGCCGCCTGCTACTGTGGTTGGGGAGGGCAGGTTTCTTTGGCCCTAAAACCGGGAGAGAGTGGCTGGTTCCCCTGCTCCGCATTCCAGCCACTCGGGGAGCGCAGGTGTAGACCCCCGCACCGTCGTCCCCCAGTGGGACGAGAGGGCTCGGAATCTCCCTGCTGAAGTTTGGAATTTCAGATAAAGCGCCTCTCCTCTGGCAGCCTGGCCCCTAGGTCTCAATACCGCGCCCCCTCCGCCCCAACGCCCTGCTGGCGTTTCCAGCGTCCTTTGCATCTCCATCCCCAGACCCGCGTCGTTACACCCAGGAAGACCCAGTCACTTACAGACTTCACGATCCAGATCCTAAAGCCCGTGGGGAGGAGAATATGTGGAAGTAGGGTGTTGTGCTCCTGGAGCTTCCTTTCCCCGACCCCCTCCCCCACCGCTGTGCCTTCAACTGTGACTGGGGGAGGGAGTGCCTTGGGGGGTGGGGCGCATTCCAGTGTGACATTCCAGAGCAGACCCTTGAAGACTTCCAAGTCTCAGAGTGCTCAGGGCATTTTGACCCAAATGCCTGGCCTTGGTGCGGGGTGGAGGTAGGGGGATGGAGTGGGGTATCTAGGCTGAGGTTCGAGGAACCCCCACCCACCCACGCACCAACCTACCCACTGAGGCAGCTCCTTCCTGGCACAGGCATCTCCTGTGCGCCTTCTAATTAATGGGGTAAACACCTGAGCGCCCTGGACAGAGGGCTGAGACAATGGGACCTCACCAGGGACAGAGAGTCCATGGGAGCGGAGGCAGGAAGCCTGTCAGCGGGGCCATCGCCTTTCTCGATAGGCTGCTGAGTGTGTGGGATGGGAAGAAGGAAGGTATCCAGGGGTGAACAGCTCCCTTGAGAGCTCCAGGATCATGGCACCTTGAAGATAGCCATTGGCCATGGGTCAGTGTTGAGCTTGGGTGGCCCTGTGACACCCTGGAGCTCTCTTTCCAGGATGGTATCCTTTGCCCTGGTGAATGGAGGGGGTCTCAGGCTTGTATGTGGATGGTGCTGGAGCAAGGAAGCGGGTGTCGCTCTGGAAGAGTGAGAGGGCCTGGCTGTCTCCACTGTTGCTGGATGAAGCCACTTGTTGCTGGGGGAAACCAGTCAGGTTTGCTTGGGCCTCTGAGCCTCTGAGCCCACCAGGCCTCTGCTCCCCCTGGAGAGGGAAGGAGGGAGGAGGGGGATTGAGCAACTGGATTGGACTGACTCAGACCAGAGCTGGGGGCCGGGTGGCTGAGCCTGGGGAAAGGCTGATTTCAGAGGTGATTAAAAATATTTGTACAACTGATTCCAGGGAAGTGAAGCAAAAGGCCCTTTTGTCCAGAAAATAATCTGAGGTTGGGCCTGGGCTTCAGCTGTGGGGTGGGGGAGACTCAGGGTGGAAGGAGGTCCCCCTCCTACCCCACTCTTTACACCCTCCGAGAACCTTTAAGCAGAAGATGCAACTCCAAAGTGGAGGGGCAGCCCTGGGTTCGGAGAAATGCACCTGAGACCACCCAGAGGTGACTTGCAAATGCCCACTGTGTTTAGGCACAGCACCAGCTGTGGCAGAGGATGCCAGGAGAAGTCTTGTTCACCAGCTTCAGAGACCCTACAGCCCTGGAAGGGGAGACACGGACATGATTTGAACATTCAGGGGTCAGATGGCTCAGTTTTAGTGCAGAGTCTAGGGACCCACAGGAGGCAGAAGGTTTCTCCAGGGCCCTGAGGAAAAGCCACCATCTTAAAAGGTGGCATTGGGCCAGGCACAGTGGCTCATGCCTGTAATCCTAGCACTTTGAGAGGCTGAGGTGGGCAGATCACCTGAGGTCAGGAGTTCAAGAACAGCCTGACCAACACGGTGAAACCCCATCTCTACTTAAAAACAAAAATTAGCCAGGCATGGTGGCAGGCGCCTGTAATCCCAGCTCCTCAGGAGGCTGAGGCAGGAGAATCACTTGAACCTGGGAGGTGGAGGCTGCAGTGAGCTGAGATTGCACCACTGCACTCTAGCCTGGGCGACAGAGCGAGACTCTGTCTCAAACAAACAAAAAAGGTGGCATTGGCTTCATGCGCACTCCCAGCATCAGACGGCTGGAGCTGTGCTCTTCTGAGCTTCTCTTTAACTCTCTGGGGGTCCCTGTCCCAGGCAATAGATGACAGCCACACCCAGAAAGCCCAGTTTTCCCACCTGAGTGATATATTTCTGTTTTCCCACCTGCCCTTCCATTTCTGGGTGAACCAGAGAAATAAGGTATTTCAGGATGGGACCAGGTTGTTTCCTCTGAGGCTATGAAATTGCTCAGCAACTTACTAAAGGCAGCAGCATGGTACCTGGATGGGGGGAGGGTCAGATACAGGCTCCTGTCTCATTCCTTGGAAGTTCCTATATTGAGGGGGTTGGTAGCAGAAGCAAGACTTGGAGGGTCAGGTGCAGAAGGAAGTTGCTGCTCACGAACCGCAAAGTCAGGGGGAAATTGGAGGTGGGGGCTTTCGGACAGAGAGCTGTAAAGCTTCCCTGACCCTGGCCCAAGTGCCTATGGGCTTCTGGGGGCTGGCAGGGTAAAGGTAAGTATTTCTAGGGCAAGAAGAATGAGTGACATTGGGTCCCTGGCTTGATTTTTTTGTAATGACATCCCCGTTAGATTTGAACTTGTAGAGTGGGCTTTAGCTCCACAGCCCCCTGCCGCCCCACCACCCTGCCATCATCCAACCAGTCCTTCGATTGCTTTTTGGAAAGGATCTCTCAGAGCTGGCCATTGTGGCTTTACCTTTGGCCTTGACCTTTAAACTGGGTTGCATGTGCCCCCCAACAAATCGATTGCCTGTGCTTTTTTACCACTCATCTCTTAAAAGCACGACCGTGGCTATGCCCCCATCATGCTAAAAACAGCCTTCAATGGCTGCCTGTTGCCTTTTAGAATCAGGCCCAGCCCCGCCCCTGTAGCATTTCCAATCTCAGCCAGCAGCTGCAGCCTCCCTTTACAAACTCAGCTGATACTTGGCAAACTGAATTCTTTTTTCACTTGCTCTGGATTTGGGCTCAACCTAGGGCTTTGACTCACACCATCTTTTCTGCCTTGCATTTCCCTCTCATTGCTCCCTTTGCCTGCTCAGCCCTCCCTCACGTTCTTCAGGGCTTAGCTTCCGGGTGTCGCTGTCTCTTGCCGGTGTCTGGGACCTGGGTGGTTTTTTTAATTAGATACTGAATAAAACTGTGGAACAATCTTTGTCTGCTCTTCCTGGTTTTCTTCTGTGATCTTGTAGCCCCTGTCTCTCTCCTCCAGGTAAATTCTGTTGTGTGGTTCTTAATCATATTCTCACTTGTGTAATTTTTCTGAGTACCTACCTTATCTCCCCTATTAGATTTTAAATACTGTCAAGCCAGGGACTGTGTTCGTGTTTGTATTTTTCACAGCTCTGAGAACAACAGGGCCTTTCTTTCCCAGGTTCACAGTCAATATTTGCTGATTGGGAGCAGTTGCCTGTTCTAAACTGGGCCCTGGCCGAGGGAGGTGGGGTGAGAAGCCCATGAAAGTGCAGGTGCAGCCTGTAATTCCAGCACTTTGGAGGCTGAGGCGGGTGGATCACCTGAGGTCGGGAGTTTGAGACCAGCCTGATCAACAGGGAGAAACCCCGCCCTCCCCTCTTATCTCTACTAAAAATACAAAATTAGCTGTGCATGGTGTCATCTGCCTGTAATCCCAGCTACTCGGGAGGCTGAGGCAGGAGAATCACTTGAACCTGGGAGGCGGAGGCATGGTGAGCTGAGATCTCACCATTACACTCTAGCCTGGGCAACAAGAGCCAAGGTCCGTCTCAAAAAAAAAAAAAAAAAGTAAGTGCAGGTGCCCAGAGGCTAAATGGCCCTTCTCAGTGTTTGATCTCTTCCCTACTTCCAGCTTCAGCTGGAAGTGCTGGCTGGCTGGCTGTAGGGCCCAAGACAGAGCTGAACCTTTAGGATTCCGGAGCATGTTGTTATTCATAAATTATCTCCCGGGAGTGGCTCAGTATTAGTCCTCTTTCCAGCACTTGTAAATAAAATACAGTTGGTGCTTTATTGATTTACAAAGTCCCCTACAGAAGCTTATTTAAGCCTTGCTTTAGAAGTGAAGAGAAACTAGCTGTGACACCAGCTTTTTAGGAAAACAACAGTACATTTACATAAGAGGGTTAACTTTAAGAGTTAAGCGAGCTTAATGGAAAGATCAGGTAGCTGAGGTGGCTAAGAAGACCTCAGTATTTTCTTTTTTTTTTGAGACGGAGTTTCACTCTTGTTACCCAGGCTGGAGTGCAATGGTGCGATCTCGGCTCACC